AGAAATGGCATTAAGGTCCGACTGAAGGTTAGTTATTTCGCCATCACAAGTTATTTCACGAAAAACCACGCAGTCAACGGCAAACAAGAGAATGTTAAAATAAACGGAAGAAGGAAGATCGTTTATGTAGATAAAGAAAGGAGAGGACCAAGAACAGAACCCTATCCCTTAGCGAAAACTAATACGTTTGAAAGATACCACATTCTAATTTGAGTGTATTTGAAATACAATTCATAATTGTAAGTACACGAAAAATATACCGAAAATATAAACTTCTTTTTTTGTTACTTAGTACTAAAATATACTTCTAAAAATCATTTTAAAGTACCTTTACTCAAACTACATTTGAAGTTCCCTTCATGCGTTTTGAAATATGTAAATACAAAATTAATAGGCACAAAATACCTTTCGCATATATTTCTTGAAATATTTATTTAATTCATGCAAAATATACTCCAACCCTAAAAAAAATGGAGCAATCAAGAATGCGTGCAGAATACTCTTAAAATACCTGAAAATCGTAAATACTGTTGTGTTACACTTTAAGTACCTTTTGACTGCAATACTTTGGTAGTTTGACTTAAACTACCAAAATATTTAAAAGCTCCCCTTCTGAAGTTCACTTCAAGCAGATATGGAGTACACTGAAGCGCCTAAATACATTTGATTAGTTTGGCAATTGAATTGCGCAGCATCGCACTGATAAATCAGCCCAGTTTATGTTATTGTTTCCTTTTTTCTATCAAGAACACACCTGATCAGTTCCTTGCACACCAATCACAAACGGGGTTCGGGAACTACAACCACAACATTTGCTGATGCTGGAAAGCTTCAGCAGGTGCTGTGAACAGATACGTTTGGCGTGGTTTTGTTAGCAAAATGTTAGTTCACTGAACGTGTATACTCACCATTGTACGTGATGTGAATAGTGACTTTAATACAGTGCCATTAACTACCATATTAAATAGTGAACTGCTAAAAAGGAAAGGCAAAACAACTACTGTAAAATATTTATTTTTCGCGGGCTCAATATTTCGCGATTTAGGTCAAAGTTGGAGTTTTGGAATAATTCGCAAATTCTAATTTTCGCGACGCGCTGGGATCGCAATATAGATTTTAATGTTTTTACATTTTGCCGGAATTGTTTACGGGACCTATTTTTCGGAATTGTAGGCGATTCGCCAACTTTGCGAGAATTAGGTCCTCACGAAAATAAAGTCGTTTATAGTATTTTAAAGTGAAGAAACTGCCTTGATTCGCTTCGCCCTGAGTGGTGCTACGCAGAGAAGCAATAACATGTATTTTATGAGCCGTTTGTGTGGATATTGTTTTAGGGACTGTGCCGAATTGTTATTTGTTGTACCAATGCCTTTAGTAAGAGATATCGTCCACGAACTTCAAAACACTGTTTCCCCCTTGACAGACTCCCGAGGAGAAGATCGAATACTTGTAACCTTAATAAGCGCAGAGGTGGTCACCGAAAAAATTATTACCTTCAATATGTAGGCTATATAAGGCTCTAGAGCAGTCAACGGGACTGTGAATGAGCTCTTCAGTGCGTCATGGTGTTTGTGTTTGTGTTCGTTTCTAATGTGGCTTTGTGAGATGTATTTAGTAGTGCCTTCAAATACCACAGGGACACCATTTGCTGACAAAATCGAAAATAAAAAAAATTGTGTACCCGGTTTTTAATCCACAAATGGCATCTTGAGTGTGAAGGAATAATATTTTTTGGTATATCTAAAATATTTTTTGATACATATTTATAATGTATTTTGAATACATTACGCGCGTATTTCGAATGCGGCCAAAATAATACAGAATAAATACAAAATGAATATTCGTACTAAATATATTTCAACTTCGTTTGAAGTACGGCCTCTTTTTGCTAAGGGATGGTACACCGGAATGAAGGCCAGTTGACTGCGAGTTAGAGTTGCTAGCTGAAACAAACTGTGAACGGTTAAGAAGAAAACATTCAATCCATGCAAGAAGTTTGCGATCAAGGTTCAGTTCGTGTAGTTTATTTAGTAAAAGTTTGTTGCATACTTTATCAAATGCTTAGAGAAGTATAAAAAATGCAATCGGCAAATGAAGAATGGTCTCGAATGAGGTTTAGTTTATGCGTGAATGATACAAATTGAATTTCACAGGTGTAAGTTTTGCGGAAGCCATGCTGTGACAGTGTGAAAAAGAAGTTTGATTCAAGAAATGTAACGAGATGCGAAAACATAATGTGTTCAAGAAGTTTACAAGGAATGCTAGTGAGTGAAATAGGTCAGCAATCGAAAGGAGAAAACTTGCTACCTGATTTATAGAGTGAAATCACCTTCCCGACCTTCCATTCGCCAGGGAGATAACCGTTGGCAAGCGACTGCTGAAAAATCTTAGAAAGTATAATAGAAGAATAAACATCTGAAGCTTATTAAAAGCTTCGGATTAAATTAATCGCATCCAGGAGACGAAGGTTTAAGTGATCTAATGAAATTTTCTACACCTGCTATGGGAGACATGACATGGGAGACATGACAAGATAGTCAAAGCCATGAGTATCGGGTATCGGGACACCTGAAGTTACAGAAACACTTCATTCAGCACCAATGCACACTGACTAGAAGGAATAACGAATAACTCTTTTTACGTTTCGGACTCTCCAACTCATTTTTTTTCGCTCCCCCCCCCCCCTTTCCTACGCCACATGCTTCGCCTTCTTTGCAAATATCAGCTGATCCCTTTTGTGCAGGAACGTTTGTTGATAGGTAAGAGAACCACTAAAATTCGAAAGGAATTTGTAAATTGAGTAGAAGTTACTCGGAAAAGTAATTAAAGTAAACTAATAATTACCGAAATCAAAATGTAATTGAAAGTTACTAAACTACACAAAAAGGTAGTTAGACTTAGAGTTGTTGAACTACGTACAAGTCTGCCGCAGAGCCAGCAGAGCCCGCCCAGGCAGCCACCGGAGAATCTGCACGACCGAGCTCAGCACGGCGCACAGCTTCTAGGAATACGCTATATAGGGTAGGAATGCTTTCACATTTCGACACGTTAGCAGTCTTAAGTGTCTTTGTTTACTTCCAGATTTATTGAGAGCTAGCGCATTCAATGACGACAATCCCCCGGTCATCGGAAAAACGGTGTTCGGTAATAAGCGGCACGAATAACAACCGAAAGGGCAGAATATTATCGTAGGACATCTGTACCGCGCACAGGATCCGACAAGGCAATTTCGGCTGCAATGTCTTCAAACTTCATCGCTTTCCAAATCACCAACGCCATCTTCTTAAATGTACTAGGAACCTTTCGTGAATGAAGCACCTACCCAACTTAACGCTGTACCATCGATGAATATGGGGTACGCTCGCAAGATGAATGCAAGTTTTCTCGTGAAAATTGCTGTTTCAGCTGGTAAACTTTCCGTAACATAACTAATCTTAACGTTGATATTTTTCAGTGGTGACATTCACTCAAATTCTTTCATGCACAACGTCTAGTTAAAGGCTCTTTTCCGTCGTCGGGTGAGGCTGGAAATTGTAGAAAAGTAAGTTATATCGGGTAATCTTGAATCGCGATCTCCGGCGTGGTACGAGAGAGTCGTAAACTTGTATTGGCCTTCACAACGCGACTGTATCCTTCGTATTTTTAAAATTAGTACATAATGTAGCTGGAAATGAAACTTGAATTTCCTATTGCTGAAACATGCTCATACATCGATTTCGAATCTTTGAATCACTGATAGGCTCGCTACAGCAATGGGCCCATCTCGACTTTGCAGTTTTCAGTTCTGGACAAAGGACCAACTATTCGTTCTCGACAAAGGAAACACTTCAATCGCTCCCTGCACTGTGCTTATTTCGCGAGTCTTTGTTTACATTATATTTTATAGTTGTGGACGACACGAACCGCCAAAAATATTCTCGGTGTACTGCATCTAAAATGACAAAAACCTCGAGGGATATTAATCGCTGTAAACTGCTACAATATTTAGAAGACTCACCTCTGATTTTTATTGGTGATGCGTTTAGTGCTGTACTTCTCGGCATTGCCGCACTGGTGGATGCCCTAATGCTGGGCAAAAAACGTTCCGAACAACTTAAAAAACGCCGACCGCGGCAAAAAAAAATAAAAAGAAAAAAAAACATAATTTAAATATTTGTTATTTTGGAGCCCGCAAATTGCACACTCAACGCGCGAAGGGGGCTACAAAGAGCACTTTCGCCAACGTTTCTAACCACTCAGCATGGCCGGGGAACCTGACGCTCGCTAGATGGCGCAACAGTGTTACAAATGACGCTACCCACGACAAAACGGTCAGCAGGAAACTTCTGCCATGACCACCAGCTCGAGTTTATTCGGCTGCATTCCCGCAGGCGTGAGGACGGTAATGCCGGGTAATACGGGACGTCATATCACCATGCTGGTGCACCTTCTTACGTGTGCATGCCGTTAAAAACAAATTCGTGCGTGGAAAACTTGCATGCGCAGAAGGTGTACGCTCTCACCAGCAAGGTCACCACAATGGCAGCGGCTGTGACGTCAGGCCAAGCCATGCAGTGGAAATTAAGGACACTGAAGAGGGGGAGAGGTTAAAAAAAAAGTTCGTCAATGAAACCAAACAAAGGTGAATTGTATCATCCAGGCTAATCGTCTTATAAGCAAATTCAAGACGTATGTGAAAATGCTCTTCGTTCGTAACCAGGAAAGAGGTATTATGTGGCTTTATTCCTTGAGGCTCTCAATAGACACTTTCCAAAAGTGCATCAAGCAACACTGGTGGCCACCATAATCTGGGCATCGCTTTAACAGCTAAGATATTGGATCCGAGTTTATGCCGAGCGCTGACACGGCGGTCGTGTCCAGTACTTTTCAATCCGAGTACGCACTGAACACTGACGTTAAAGGGGCACGCCCGAAAGATATTGGGCTCGGATAATCGATGCAGCAGCTACTTGAGGGAGCGCATTTTGAAAAGTGTCCAGTGGTGCGCTGACGTATCGGCGTCATGCGCTCGGCTTAAAGGCGTGCACGAGAACCGCTTGTGCACCGATCCAGAATGACCCCAACTCCTCTTCGGCCATCCACTTCCGAAGTTGCTGGGCGATGTCCTCGGCTAAATATGCTTTTTCTTCCTCTGTCAGCAAAGGCAAAACGGGACAAACGCTCAGGTGGAAACCTGCGGATTGGAAAAACAAAATTTATATTAACACATGATGTGTTCTGTCAGATGATTTCACTGGAGTTTTTAGCCTTCGGCTATTAAAACCGGCTCTAACGGTCGGTCCTACTGAAAAAGTGACACAGAAAAGGGCCACGTCCATAGGGAACCACATAAAAAGACTCCAGTCCTCCGGCAGGGTTTGAACTCACACACGATATCTGCCGAGTGCTTTGCCGAATAAGTTAGACATGGTCTTTTTTTTTTTCTATTGTTGAGTTCTATGGACTTCGCAAAAGCGAGCTTATTCGCGCGGCACGTGAATAGGCTTGCGCGCTTCGCTGCCTTTCTTAGGGCGCCTACATGTCTGTCTGTTTCAGGGTGAACGCAGAGCCGTGCAGAGAGAGTTTGGTCAATGGGAGGCGCGGGCAGAGCCAGGGCGTGCGCCAGACTCGGAAAGAGGGCTTGGCATGCTCTCTTGACCAACCAGAAGCCGAAAAGAATCCTCTAGCGGTGGTAGCGGCAAACAGTTCTGATCAAAGGTTTATGCTCGTATATGGTTTTAATAAGCGCGGAAGAGCGAAGTGTAGTAACTCTTCGTGGTTGAAAATAGGGTGCACGTGCTGTGCACCCTATTGCGCACCGCTCAACTCTGTTTTGCTCGGACAGAGTGCGACCGCTCGGACGGCAGATTCCCGGCCCTCGGCGCTTGGCGTAAGAATTATGTCGATCGTTCCGCTCGTCGCACTCTTCCATTATCATTTTGGATGAGCGTGATTTAAACACCACGTGTACCATATTTTCAGTCACCAAGAGTCACTCAGGTGCAGTTATCAGGTTCTCTTCTCACGACCACCGCCAGGGTATTATTTCCGGCTTCTGGTTGGTCACATTTGAATTTCTGAAGACTCAATGGAACACGCCCAGCCCGCTTTCGGCCAATGGCGCCTCCTCATTTGTCTCCTATACTTCCCAACGAACGGCCAAACTCTCTACATATACGGCTCTGGGTAAAGGCATCCATTGTTGCCCTGAATGTGCCAGCACGTGATGCTCTCGCGCACTCGATGCGTGACTTGGGCGGTAAAATGGCGTCTATGCATTAGCCAAAGCTACGCGCCCGAGCTGAGTGACACCGGATTGCGCGCACTTCAAGATGCATAAAAAAAAACGATTGCACGGAAAAATGCATAAGATGTCACCACTCAAGCAAAAGCGCGCGTGTGTATGAAGGCACTCCAGCCTTTCCTAGAGTTCCTGTATAGGCTCCCTGCGGAAGCCAGAGTTGCGCGTTCATCTCCGTAGCGCCGTCTTTCCTGCAGGTCAGTTGATTCCGCTTCGTCACGTGATTGGTTTCGGCGAATCGCCGAAACCAGTCACGTGATCGCCGAACCTGATCATCAACATAACCGGCTTCGTCCCGGCTTCAGCACGGTGACAATCAGCGCAACCGGCTCCGTCCCGGGTTCAAGGCACCCGGACCCGAGATAACCAACCCCCTCCCGACATCGCGACACGCACTACTTCGCCAACGATCGAGGGGCGAACATTCTAGGGCACCAGCGACCCGAGCTACGACCCCAGGGGTGACTACACTGCCTACCGAACGTGTTTGAACGGTCGAATGGTTTCTTTTCGTTTGCTTTTCTAACGTTGCTTCTCTTTTATTAATTTTTGCTTCCTGGCTTGAATATAGTTCTTACTCATGCATTTTTCTCAGTCTCCCAAACCTTCCTCTCACCCCGGACGAACCTGGCCCCATAAACTGAGAGAAAAAGCTCAACCTTCAGCGCGAGCTCGCTGGCTTCCCCGGTACTTCGGTTGCGCGTGCCTGCACGTGCACCCTTGTGTTAGCAAGGGTAGAAAGCTCGCGCTGAAAGCGGAGGTTCTATTCTGAGCTTATGGGTGAACGACACGCATAAGCACAGCAACACGTTGCAGAAGAGCTCTGGAAGTTCGCCGTCAGCACGCGCTCAGCAGTCGCGAAGATAACTGCGGCCGCCAGCGAATGCTTCCTCTTAATCGTGACGCGATGCCTATTGATATTTGCGAGGCACTCACGGATGAGTTCGTCCAAGACGATATTTTTCCTTCGCTCGAAAGTGACCTTGCACGTCGTCGGCTTCAGGTTGGCAGCACTGAGAAGTCCCAAGACGTAGGCCTCGATGTCCTCTTTGTCTTGAAGGTCCACGCTCGCGGGAACCAAACTTTCGCATAGCTGCAGAGGCAACAGGGGATCATTATTCTATCACGGCCATTTTAACTCAACATGAAAATCTTCCCCAGTTGGTTGATTTAAATACTCAAATCTATTGTTCATGGACAAGACCGTTTGGCAACAGTTCATTTGGGCACGGAGCATTGCGCAGATTTACACTAGAGTTACAGGCTTGGTGCGTCAGCCAAAGTATGAGCACGTGAGATAGCACTTTATATTTTCCATGAGAAGTCCTAGAGTAATTGCCACGCAAATCAATTTTCGCTTTTCGTTACTTTGTTTAAATGAAAATATTTCAATCGAGGTTTGTCGTAGAAAAAGTTCCTAGACTTGCTAAAACTATTTTTTTTTGTGAAAATTAGTCTTAAAAAGAACCGCATAATTAAATTTTATTTTATTATCATATTTGTTACGCTTTTTTATCTGCAACAAAATTGGAGGGAATAAGTCTGCTCATTCAATGGCCCCGGAATCCGCAAACTTGCAATAGCAATAAAAAATTAAAGACGTTTACAATTCCCTGTAATGCAGAATTAGAGCGCAGCTCTTGAAGAAGAGGGGAAGGTACGGAAAGGGAGCATACGCCCCCCCCTCCTACGTACCCTATTCTCATCTCCTCCTCCTTCTCTCCCGTCCCTCTCCTCCCCTCCTCCTCTCCTTCTCTTCCTCCCCTCCTGCTCCTTTCCCCTCCTTCCTTTCCCCTCCCCCTCCTCTTTCCTTTCCCCTCCCTCCTCCTCCCTCCCTCCCCCTCTGTCCTGACGTCACTCGGGACCCTAGTGACGTCACACGTTACGTCACCTGTGACTACATTATGGGAAATGTCCCATAATGCAACGCGTGGTTACGCCCACGGCGACGGCGACACCGCTCAAGCCGGAAACGGGCGCCTAAGAGCTGCGTTCTGAAAAACGTTTAAATGATGGTTTGTGTCTTTTAAGACAAACTGATTCGTTCGTGCTCCTGTAATTGTTTGCACTATAGCCATGGCAGCTTAAAACCGCGCTCGTACTCTCAATACATCATACGAAAGACAGTATATCTAGACACCGCCTGAGATGCATTTCTTTCTTTTATGACTGTCCTGATAGGTATCGGTCACACAAAGACTTTCGTTAGTCATGTTCGAAGCATACATCCGTATAAATCCTAACATGCTCGAGTCGTGTCCCGGATCCGCAGATAACACTGTCATCATGTTTCCAGTGAACGCGTCACGTTCGAGCGGCGAGGCTGCAGCATTGGCCGATGAGAACACAGTATATGAATCACGGAGGAACAAGCGTGAACATAACCAGCCACGCCCTTAATTTCTTCCTCTTGCAATTACCGCTTGAAGCGCAAGTAGCGTAAAGCGCGTGACCAAAAGCTCAAACCCACCAGCACATTAAAAAAAAAAAATAGCTACACAAAATCAAGGTACGAACTCACGTCAGCGTGCTTCCTCCAGCGTTCCATCTTGCCAATCGCTCTCAGCACTTGCATCCCAGTCGAGCGTGAGCAGAACAGCAAGAGGCATTCTCCGCCGGGTCGCATGAGCCGGGCGATGTTCTTGAACGCCTTCTCCTGGTCTTTCACAAAATGCAGGGCAAAGAAGGAGTAGACGCGGTCGAACTGCCCGTACCGCTCTACGAGACCGGACACGTCCCCCGCAGCGTCCAGGACGTCGTAGCAAATGTTCGGATGGGCGAAGTGCTTGCTCGCGTAGTCGATCATGTCGTGGGACGAGTCCACGGCGACGATCCTTCGGCACGGAAGGCAGCGAGGGAGCAGTCCGTTTCGAGTGAAGTCTCCGGTGCCGCAACCCAAGTCGAGGACCTGTCTGTGGTCTCCGATGGTCTCGGCTTTGAACGACGTCTGGAGTTCCTCCAGCGCTTTGCTGTTTAAGGCCCACTGAATGTCGTTATCGTTGACGTAGAGCACCGGGTCGATGGTACGGTTGATCATCCTTTCCGTTGGTGGAGCTAGTCCCGTTTTGCAAATGGTTTTGTTCATAGTGGAAAAAGTTTGCTGTGCCTTCGATAAAACTAAAATCTTGTAAAATTCTGCAAAAAAGAAAAAAAAAAGAACTATTTTGTGTTTACATGTTCTCCACCACCGAGTTGGTGACGTGAAGGAATCATTCTCCGTTCTAGATTTATTTATTCAAGTGGTTCACAGAAAGTGAACCACTTGATCAATATTATATACTGATATTTTAGATGGCAATCTATTCAAATGTATACCTTACTTACCAATTAATTTTTATTTTACAGTTAACTTCGTAATACAAACGATAATATTGTTAACATCTCTCTGGCTAATATTTTCTATTGTATACGTCTTAAGACATTTTTGTTTTATAAATTGACCTAAAATATTTCGAAATTTTAAAGGTATTTTTTTATTTGGTGGAAGGTATAGTTTTGTAATAAATATTAACAAATGAAGAAAGTGCTACCGAATAGGATAGTTTGCTTTACTAATCCGCATCAGATTGAAAATGTCTACGGCTTGCAAGCGTAAGATTCTGTAATAACAGAAACTGATGATAAAAAAAAAATAATATTTGTCGTAAGCACTGTGTTAAATAATATATTCTATCTAAACAAACACTGTTCACTTGGGGTGGTCAATATTTTGTAAAATAAACTGCTAAACAAAAAAAAAAAAGTAAAGTTAACAGTATGGAACATTTGAATATTTGGGAATTCCTATTTTCTCTTTGTGTAGAAAAAGAGCAGAAAGGGACTACGGAGGAACGCGTGGAATGAAACAAGTCGCTTTTTCCTGTTCGTTACTTGGTCTGGCCTTTTCTCTTTTCACGCTTTTTCCAAACATAGATATGAACCAACTGGCCAAATTCACTGTCCGCGTGCCTCTAATTCCTTGAAAAAGCAGTTTTGTTTATTTCGGGAGTCGAGTTAACTGTGACATGCCCGTATATGATTTCATCAAATACGAGTTAAATACGGTGCTGCTACCACCACCCCCACCAGCCCCACCGACAAGCCTCTTCGACTTCAAATCAAACCACCCAGGCATATATCCTTTCTGCAATTTCTCTTGGCAACAATGAGCCGCTGCCTTGAAGGCCCTCGAAAGTGCGGCTGGCCGCTGTGATCGGGCAAGCCACTGCCATTATGTGGTATGCGCTCGCAATCGCGAGCACCACCGCCGCGGGTCCCGATTCGCTATCGTGAACCATGAGCTTGGTTGACATTCCAAATCAGGACCCTAAGGATAAAATAAATGACAACTACGTTGCCCGTGGTGAATTCTCGTTATCAGGTCCGAAAAGAATACCACCAAGATGTTGCGTGAAGAGCTGCCTCTCAAGCGCTGCATCCGAAAGTGGCATTATGCGCCAGAGTCTGCACAAGTTTCCGAAAGTTCAACGGGGTCGGGACCAATGGCAGGCTGCGATTCCTGCACAACATTTACAGGCAACTCGGAAAGCGGGTGATACCCGTTTTATATGCTCCTTGCATTTTGTGGAAAGTGACTACATTCATTTCGCGGGTGTCAAACAGGAAATCCCATAGCATTTTGTTCAGCGACGTTTCGTATACAACATCGGTTTCTTTCAATAATAATTGCAAAAAAAAAAAAAACTTAATGTAAATATTGCAAAATGTATGACAAAAACGAAACAAAATAGAAAAAAACAAAACAAAAAAAAAAAAAACCGCTACGTTCACATTTGCTATCAAACCTGGGTCTGCTGCGTGAGAAGAGGACATCTTTCCACTGAGCTACTGGGGGATTTTTTTTTTCTTTATTGCATGGAAGCATAGACGGTGGGCACATCGGTTAAAGTTGCAGCTTTGAAACGAGAGTGCGCTGAATTTATACAAGATTATTCAGATGCATTTGCACCAACATTTTTACAATTTAGACAAATTTGCATACCTTTTCGGGTACGCAGTGCTGACTCGGCTGTATCAGAAATCAGAAAACAAAAGGCACTTTTCAAGTCGCCAATACCGTTTGGGATTTTTACCGAGTTTATTAAGGAGACTTTTTACGTGGTTGCATGTTTCGATGAAATTTGATTTGGTAGTCCTTGGTGGTTCAGCGTTTCTGTCCATCATGCGAGTCTTAATGCGTACCGAGCAAAGTAACAAAAAAATATCAGAGGGAAATGTTTCTGGATCTTCCACAGGAAGAAAACGAATAGAGTATGCGTTGATATTAATTCTTTTTTATAGTACCCTGAAGTGCATTCCAGAAAAGGTATGCATCTTTGCAAAAAATAAAGCAATGCTCAATAGTCTCTGGCGTGTTGCATAAACGGCAGTTGATCGACCACGGTACAAAAATGCATTTGTCACGTAGCCATGGTTTTACAGAAAGTGTGTTGGTATGAAGCTTAAAGAAAATTTTTTTTTTTTTAGAGTTGAGAAAACACGCATTCTGCGAACTCGCTTTAAAACATCTTGGTCCGTACTCTTTGGATGTTGGCTGCGGTATAAGGGTTCTGGAAATAGCAAATCCATTAGGCTAAGGTAGAGCTCCTTTCTGAAAAGAGTAAATAAATCTTCCAAAGAAAATCACACTTTCAAAAACTCAAAAGCTGCCACAACTTCTTGGAGGAAGCCAAAAGGTCGAGGCATTGCCACGTGGACGGATAAAACAACAAAGACGGGGAGGAGATCCATCAAGTGAGTTTGGAGGATGGTCCTATAATGAGCGGGTGGGAAGACGTTCTGAGGAGCATAAAATGTGAAATAATCTTCCGTACAAATAGGTGGGTTAAGCCTAGTCCTCGCACTTCAATACACCTGTTAGCATCCTGCTGAGCACGAGAGCTCAGAAAGAGAGAGACGAGGACGACGATGAGCACCCGCGAAACTTGCAACGATACGAACGTTAAAACCTCTCTACATATAAAATGCTTTCTACCTTTTGACAACTGCGTATTTGACGACTAACAAATCAGAAGTGGGATGAGCACGTTTGCGACCTGTACACGGTGAGAAGCTTTATTCTACAATCCTCAAAGCGGTAGAAACTGTGTCACGTCGGACCAGCTCGTTCTAGAGATGACTGACAGCACCGGGCACGATCTACGAAGGAAGGAGCGCTTGCGAAGCCGTCCGCGGGGTGCAATCCAAGGTCCCTGCGAAAGAACAGGCGATGAATAAATCACGAGCGTGGCTGTCGTAGTCAACACTCGATCCCTTCAGCAACGCGACGAAGCGAATCCTGTGGCTGTGAGTGCTGGTATCGACGACACCGACGGAGTCGCTGATGCGTTGGAGAACCATCAGGCAACGGAAGTTCGTGCAAGAAATGAAGACTTTGCTACACTGCTGCAAACGGCTATCCAGAGTGCCGTGCGGGACGCGATGCGAGGCATGGTATACGCTTCTTCGTGTCGGTCAACAGCCATTTCAAGACGCGCGACCACCTGCGGACTCTGGAAAACTTGTACCTGTTTTTAATCCTGTGGCATTTTCATCGCAGACAGTAGAACAATGGACTAGAAAAGTTGACGAACTTTCCACAATCTACGCGTGGAGTGATCGACAGACGTCGTGCTTTGCCATAACGAAACTGGAAGGGGTTGCAAAGACATGGTATGATGGACTTTCGAGCGTACAGCGATCATGGCAAGAGTGGAAAGATGAATTGAAAAGATCGTTTCCAGATGTGAAAAGCTGTCAGTGTCACCATCAGGAGATGGTGGCTTGAAAACGACGAAAGGGTGAGAACATCGAATTGTACTTTTATGAAAAGGTTGGCCTCGCCCGTCTCTGTCAACTCCCTGAAGATCAAATTGTTGAGTACGTCGTCACTGGTCTTGATGACGAGGCGATGGTGTGAAGTTTAAGCGTTGGAACTTTCTCTACGCCAGGGTCACTGCTTGAGTGCCTTAAGCGTATAGACGATCAACTCGCCGTGGTCAAGGCAACACCCACCCGAAACGAACGTCAGCCTCCATCAGGTGGATCGCATGACCAAGTCGAAGCGCGGAACGAAATCGGCGCCCGGGCAGCATGCCCGTCAGGTGATAATAACGGACGAAGGCCTTTATATAACCACAACGGAGAGTCATTATGCTTTAACTGCAACGACTGCAAACATTTTGCAATTCACTGTCTTGAACCGCAAAAGCAGAAACGATGCGAAAAATGCCAGCGTGTTAGTCATGCGGTTGCCAACTGCAGATTTAATATCAAGGAAAATTTTCCGAAGACACACTGCCTGGAAAGTAAAAAAACAGTTGGCGCACAAAATGAGAAATACTTTCAAGAGGCCCTGATCGACGGGAAGCCAGTCAAGGCATACTTGGACCTTGGTAGTCAGTGCATTACGCTTCGTCAGGCGGACGCCGACTACCTCGGTATTGCATATACGAAGCCTACAGATACGTGCAAGACTGGAGGCTACGGTTTCGGTCACGTGATTCCTTGCGGAATCACCCAAGCGCATCTCACCGTCGACCAGGCCAGTGCAGAAGTGCCCATCTACATCGTTCCAAGTGATGTCCAGGCATTTCCACTGCTTGTTGGCCAACCGTTTACGGATCAGCCCCACATTACCGTTGTAAGGCGTAAAAACGTTCTACGAATTTTCGAAGAGAACGAGAGTGCGGATGATGAGGACGACCGGCTTAGAGGCATCAACGCCCCAAACCTTCCACCCCGTCGTGCCACGTTATGGGCAAAGGAGTCAACGGTCATACCCCCCGGGTACATTAGCATTGTCACCTTATCAGCGGGAGGCGAAAAAGACGGCGACGTTTACGTCGATGCCCAACTTCGCGTGCAAGAGGGTAAGGAGCATTGCTTGCCCTCCTGCATTATCCATGTAGACGAAGATGGGACTTCGTTCTTTCCAGTCCTAAATGTTGCAGATTCCGCTATTCATGTTATGCAAGGAAAAGTGACTGCACGGGCTTCTTGGTGCCACGAGGAACCCGAAACGTCTTGCGACTACATTGTATCTTCGAAATGTCTAATACACCTTTTAGGCTAGAAGATGTGCGCCCGGGAACCGCATTAACATCT